TTTTTTTTTTTTTGGATGGGGGAAAAGGGGTGTTTTCCTTTTTCGGCCCCCCTTGGGGCCCCCCTTTTTTTTTTCACGGGGGTTGGAAAACCCGGAATAAAAAAACCCAAGGTTTTTTTTTTTTTTTTTTTTTTTTTCTTTTCAAACATAATTTTTTATTATCATCATCATCATCATTATTTTTTTTCGTCGAACGTAAAAATTATTTTTCAACGATTTCATTATCGATTTATTTTAGTTAGAAAAAAAAAAAAAAAAAAAAAAAAATTAATTTAATTTAATTTATTTATAAAAACCGAACCGAATCCAAATTGAAATTTTTTATAATTTTTTTCTTGTTATCATCTAAAAAAAAAAATTATTTCACTTTTTTTTTAAAAATATTTTTTTTCTCACAACAACCGCAACCACAACCACAACAACAACAACAACAACAAACAAACGACGACAATACGGTATAAAATAAAAAGCAAATGTTTTTCTGTAGCATGATATATAATTTAAAAATATTTACGCTTAGCCAAAGTGACAATCAGTGCCAAAAATATTTTTTTTTTTTTTTTCTAATTTTTCTTTTTTTTTTTCTGTTTTTTTTTTGTGTCTCAGGGGAAAAAATGTTATAAATATTTTCTATTGTATTGGTCATGACTAAAAATTATTATTATTATCATTATTATTATTATTATTATCATTCACCCGAAACAATGATTTCGATACGTGTGTGCGTGTGTGTGTGTGTTCTATGCTCCAGAATTTTATTCGAACTCTCCCTCGCGCCCCCCCCAAAAAAATGAATAAATCTTATCGTTTTTGCTAATATTATCATTATCACTATCATTATTATTAATAGATTCTTCCCGAAAAAAATAATTTTCTTTTAAACAATGTAAGGTTAATAAAAAAAAAAAAAAAATTTAGAAACGACGTAAAAAATGTTGTTTACACTTTTCAAAATTATAATTAATTATCATTATTATTATTATCATCATCATCATCATCATCATCATTTACATAAGTCGACGAACGCAATTTATTGAGTAACTTTTTATTTATTTCGTCGTCATTAACTAAAATTTATAACATGAGAAAGAAAAAAAAAACGCATTTTCCAAAGTTTCGAAAACCCTTGAAAAACAAACGAGAAAAAGAAAAAAAGAAAACGTTAGAGTTATTATTATTATTATTATTATTATTATTATTATTATTATTATTTTTCTTTTGATTTTTGTAAAATAATAATAATAATAAACCGTAACGACACCGACGGATAGCAAAAGCGAGAGAGAGTGAGAGAGAGAGAGAGAGAGAAAGAATGAGAAAATTTACAAAATTCTTTTGAGCTTTATGTTTGGAATTTTTCTTTTTTTTTTTTTTTTTTTTTTTAAAATAAATTCATCCAAGTTATTTATATCGTCATACGTTGTATTTAGAAAAATTTTGTTGTTGTTGTTGTTTGTTGTTGTTGTTGTTGTTGTTGTTGTTGCGGTTGTTCAATATTTCTAATATCAATGGGTCATATTTGCAATTTTTTTTTTTTTTTTTGGCTTCTTAAAATTTTTTTTTTTTTTTAAAAAAAAAAAAAGTTTACCGCAAGATTTTTTTTTACGTTTGAATGTACGTAAAAACAAACAAACAAACAAACAAACAATCGATCGATCGAATACAAACGAAAAAAGATGATAATAATGATAATTGTTACCGATTCGATTTTGTTAATAATTATCGATCATAGTAAGCAATAAATAAATAAATTTTGACGATTTTGACGCGTTAATTAATAAATAAATTATATTTAATCACCCGGGAAAAAACAGTAATAATAATAATGATAATGATAATGATAATGATAATGATAATGATAATTAAAAGAAAATGGAGTCATTATTTCGCGTCACATTTGAATTTATAATTTAATTTAATTTAATTTAATTTAATTTGTTTGTTTGTTTAAAATTGTTTTAAACTCGTTTAAAAGAAAATGTCCGAAAGTGATAGAGAGAGAGAGAGAGAGAGAGAGAGAGTGAGTTTAAAATTGTTTTAAACTCGTTTAAAAGAAAATGTCCGAAAGTGATAGAGAGAGAGAGAGAGAGAGCAGACGAACGATTTAAATGCAATTATACTTATTATTATCATCATCATTATTATTTAAATATGTGCTCGTGCTATGAGATTTATCGATCGATCGATCTATCGATATTACTAACGTCGTTATCGAAATCGATATTATTAATTTTATATAAAAATAAAAAAAAATTTTGCGATGATGATGATAATGGCGACGTTAATGACGAAAAAAAAAATAATAATAATAATAATAATAAAATTTTCCGTTAAAATTAAACAAACGAGTTAAAGATGTCAATCGAAATTTCACATCGTTCGTTCGTTTTTTTTTTTAAACAAAATGGTCACCGGTTGTTAACAACCGACTGAGATATAAAAAAAAAAAATTTTTTTTTTTTTTCAAATTATTTTTAGATGAAAAAAAAAAAAAAAAGCAGTAAAATTTAACTCGCGGCAGAAATTCTTTCTCTCTCTCTCTCTCTCTCTCTCCCCCTCTCTCTCTGTCTCTTTTCATCATCGAAAAAAATAATAATAATTTTTGCACCCTTATCAATAATAATAATAGTAATATTGGTAAGATGACGTTATTATTCGTACTTCTTTATTAATAATTTTCTTCTGCTTCTCTCTCTTACTCATAAAAAACTTTTTTTACATATCATACGTCGTAGCACCATGTTTACTTTAATAATAATAATAATAATAATAATGATAATGATAGTAAGAATATGATCAGTAGTAGTTGTAATAGAATATCACATGAATAATATTTCGCGCATACATATATATACGGGTGATGTAAACGTTTCTTATTATTATTATTATTATTATTATTATTATTATTAATATTATTAGAACTCGCGAAAGAAAGAAAGAAAAAAAAATTTTTTTTTTTTTTTTTGTTAACGGTTTTCGACCAACTCAAACACCGTTCAATACAAAACTATTTGACACTATAAAAAAAATCTTGGCAGCTAAATATAGTTCTTTTTTTTTTTTTTTTTTTTTTTTTTATCTTTTTTAAGTGCCGGATAAGTGAGCAACGGGGTAACTCCCTTCTTACTATTATTATTATTATTATTATTATTTTCGGGAATTTTAAATAAAAAATTCGGGATTGATTTATATATATAGAGAGAGAGAGAAAGGATGAGAAAACGATATGGGGAAAAATATGGGATGTTATAAACGACGAAGAGGGAGGAACGAACATTTTTTTTTTTTTTTTTTTTTTTTTTTTTTTTTTTTTTGGCCTTTCCCCCCCCCCGGGGAAAAAAAAAAAAAAAAAAAATTTCGGGGTTTTAAAAATTTAAAAAAAAAACGGCGTTCGTTAGTGACACGATGATGATATGTTATTTTTTTTAAATTTTCAAAAAAAAAAAAAAAAATTTTGATTTTCCGTGAAATTTAAAAAAAAAAAAGAAATTATTATTATTATTATTATTATTATTATTATTATTATTATTATTATTATTATTATTATTATTATTACATCGTTTTATTTATTTTTATCACGTCTCTCTTTCTCTCTCTCTCTCTCTCTCTCTCGTTTAAAATTTCGGACGTCATTTTTTTTTATTTTATTTGAAATATCGTCATATTTTTATTAAAAAAATCGTAAAAAATATTTTTTTATTATCGAAAAATACGTAAAAAGAGGTAAACTCACAGTGGGAGGGGGGCAAGGGGAAAAGAGAAAGGTAAAAAATTTTTTTTACTCCTTCCACTCCCCCCATTATTATTTTAAAGCGTACGAAATAAAATGTTTATTTATTTAATTAATAGCAATGGGGGTTGGTCGATACAAAACAAATTATTTTCCCGCGCTTTTTTAAAAAAATAATATATCGTTCGATTTATCGATAATTTATAATATATCGATTCGATTATAAAAATTTATTTTTAAAAAAGTTTACCCGCGAAATTTAAAAAAACAATTTTCGAAATTTTAAACGGGTGTTCTGTTGTTGTTGTTGTTGTTGTTGTTCTTGAACGTGGAAAAAGATTCGAAATCGTGGGAGGAGATTTGGTGTCGTGGAAAAAGATTCGGTGTCGTGGAAGGTTATTTTATTTTTTTTTTTGAAAATTTTTTCTCAAGTCGAAATTCGAAAGCGGCGATTTGAGTTACAAAAAAATTTGTTTTTTCGAAATTTTTTTCGTATGGGAAGTTTCGCGATGGTGGTGATAGGAGGAGGCGGGGGCGGGGGCGATGGCGAAAAGGAAAGGAGGTAGAAAAGATGGATGTAACACGGTGTCCCTGGCATTTCCTTTGAAAAAAAAAAAAAAAAAAAAAAAATTTGAGGTCGGGGCAATGGTGGGTGTAAACGTTACACATTCGTGTCTCCTTAACCATTACACGAAAAAAAAAAAAAAAAAAAAAAACAAATTCCTTTTATTTTGCCAGAATTCATTTTTATACAAAAAATTTCAAACAAAGATTGAAAAATTTTTTCTGCTCTCGTAATATATTAATAATAATAATAATAATAATAATAATGATAATAAAAGCGAGACAAAAAAAGAATCATCTTATTATATTTTCCGATGAAAATAAATAAATAAATAAAAATTATGCCAAAAATAATTTTAATGTTTTTTTCCCATTTCAAAAAAAAAAAAAAAAAAAAAAAAAAAAAGAAAAGCGGAAA